GAGAAAATAGTTTGGGGTGGGGGGAGTGTAAAATGAGGGTGGAAAGGGAAAAGAGGGGGGGGGGGGGGTTTGAATCATTATGAATTCCGAATTAGTGAGGTTTCGCTGTATTCATGGAGTTCGAGAATATGATGCGAATATTTTGACGTACAAGAGAGGTAGTAACAAGATGGAGAAAATCCCATTATGAATTCCCTATGTGACGTTACGCTCTTTATGAAATAACATTAGGGAAATTAAATCAGAGATGGTGGGCAGGATGGGGCAAGGTACATGACACAGATGACATATACCAGTTGGAAAACATGAAGAGACCAATTATTATTTTGCTGGACATTATCCATCAGGTAAAACCTGAAGACGGGGACAGTTTTTTAATAGAAACTAGACTGTTTTTTAGAATAGACAAGATGATGGATAATGTCCAGCAAAATAATAATTGTAACAATTTACCATCATCACAAACTTTTAGATCTTATGAAGAGACCACTTAGAATTCCTAGGCATAGATGGGAGGATAACATTCAGACAAGGAGTACTACCTTATGAGATGTGATGCCATGTAGTCTGGTATAAATTTACCAGAAGTCTTCTGGTCTATACAATATCACATTCCGGAAGAGTACTCTTCACAGTCGCCGCTGTGAGAACCTCAGATCTCACAGCATTAACATGGATCTCAAAAAAGAAAAAAAAAAANAAAAAAAAAAAAAGGTAGTGCGCGCAAATAATTTGGATTTATTTGGCCTGGGATAGGGTCCAGTGTCAGGCTCTTGTGGACGTCATAATAAACGTCTGGGGTCCACAAATGGGAGGGAATTTTTTTACTAGCTGAGCAACTATCAGGTTCTCAAGATGTTATCCGCACCTTACAGGTAAATACACTAATTACATCTTGGAAAACAAATTACAGCTGAATTCAGTTATCATGTTCCCAACTGTGTACCAAAGTGTCACCTGGCTTTAGATGATTCCCTGCAAGAAAATCTGAAAATCTCTGATTAGTTTTAAGCAATCACTTGTCCCTGTGACAGCACTAAGGCATATCTGGCCTAAGCATAGTCCCTACTGGACATCAAACTGGAGTGGAATTATTGTTCTCTATCTTGTGTGAGCTGTGCAACGTAAATTCCTCAGTTCTGACTCCAACAATCATCCAACCCATCACATCACAACTATATATATATTGTCATGTGTTGGGTATGTCATGCGACAAATAGCTTCACGCCGTATTGGATATAGCAAATTTGTTCCACATTCGCTCTTACACTTATACAATTCACAATTACTGTCATCGGCAGTATCACAATTACTTCCACTGCTCTCGGCGACTGCTAGACTTTCGCTGCACTCGGCAACTTCACGATCCACACTGTCACTCCTGATCACACACTCTGCTCACATACTGCTCAGCCAGCTTTTTATACCCTTCCCTGTTGCCTTGTGTTAACAGTGGTGTCCCCTGTTACATAACAGTGGGAAGTGCTGTTATGTCACTGGGGGGAGTGCTTACTGGCCTGTTACCATAACAGCAGCAGTGGCTCCAATGCTGTTATGTCACCACTGGAAGGGGGGTGTCCTGCAGAGCGCAAATACGTCACACTATATATGTGTGTGTGTGAATTAAAAACAAGGTTTCTCCTTTACAGTGCTTCAAAACCAAAAGGCTCCCAGTCCACTCCACAAGATATAAGACTGGAAAAAGTGTATTCCATAATGTAATAGATAAAATTACCACAGCATTTCTTGAAGTTTATTTAGCTTAATTAAAAATGAGAGTAATCAAACGTGATCAGTGCAAGATTTCCATATTATACTCCAACATCTGTATTACGGTTTGTGGAATAATAAGGAAATTAACCTTCTATACAATGTGTACCGGAGGCTCTTTCCCCGGGGCGTGTAGCTGATCACTCACCTCCAACTAGTGCCTAGGCAAAAAAAATTGGATCTATACAGCCACTCCCACCAATGCCTTCATTAGGTAATGCTTGATTAGTTAAGCACAGCTTTACCTTTACCTGGGCACACTAGGCTGAAATTGCTGGGAATCTGAACTCCTCAAAAACTTTTAAGGGGGCACTATGCCACAAGCCACAAGGTCGCGAGTTCGGTTCCCAAAGAGGTCACTGGATTTTTTCGATTGACCTAATCCTTCCAGCCGCACTATGGCCCTGGGGTCAACTCAGCCTCTAACAAAAATGAGTACCAAAAATCTTCCTGGGAGTAAAGGGTGGCTAACAACCTCACCACCATCTGTGAGCCAACTGTCTAGAAAATGTGGGAGCCTCGATGTCTCACAACCTAATGGGCCTTCACGGCCTGTTACAGGGATAGCTCTACCTTTCTTCCATTTTTCTACCAACAACTTCTAGTGAAACCTTCCACATGAAATTGTAGGGGAATCTACTCAACCATTTTTGTCCCAACACTAGGTTACAGACAGATAAACAGGAAACCCACATCAGGTATTTTTTATTATTTTGTAATGTATGACTAAAACCTGCGACTTAGAATGAAAATTTTATGGTACACAGATACAACAAACTGTCTCAATAAATCTTAACCTACAGATCGGTGGTCCTCTTCTTTCTCCAAAATGCGATTACACATGCTCACAGCCACTTCCAGGTTGGCATTCAAAGTTGGCAAATGGATATCAGATGCTAATTTCACTCTGTCTATTTGCGTTTCTTTGATTTCTGTTACTCTCTCGAGGATCTGGAATAACCTCTCCACTTCTCGATCTGATCTTTTTTCCTGTACAGATAAGAGCTTTTCATGCATATAATGAAGTAATAATGCAACTTTACAGTGTAAAATAATTCATTACTTACAGCAATAACAATCCCTCTGATTTATTTCGCCATCATTATTGCAGACATGTTACACCACAAGTTTTAATATATGAAATTTAACAAAACGTCAAAATAAATAAGAACAACAAAAAGATCAAATACTAGGTATTTTATTCCTAACAAAACAGAGTGCTTACCTGAAACAAAGCAAATAAATAAATTTGTTAGTGTAGACTTATGATTTAAAACTTTTTCTAAGGGCTTTCTACAGAAAGGAGTGTCACCAAGGTGACAACATACAAAGTTTCATCTCCTTTACCCGCGTGAAAACGGACAAAGAATCCGTGCGCCTCCTCTACAGATTATGTTAAAGAGACGTCAAAATTCTATACTTGAAATGAAATACCTCCCGGAAAACATTCTTTGCAACTTTCACTGTAACGTCGCACCACACACATACATCAGGTTGTAATCCGTTGTTTGTTAACCTTTGAGCCTGAAATAATCACTGTTAATGCTAAACAGAAATGACACGTTTCAAAGCGTATGTTTCTATTCTAAACATTTCTTATTTTGTTACGTTCATTTACCAAATCCGACAATTTCTGTGATCTTACTTCAAATTCCTTAAGAAAGTATTTGATTTCACCACTTAAAAAAGGTCGATGATCGAAAAGACGAGCCCATATTTCACCAACATCTGAAAATAAATACAATGTTGTATAATAGACTAACAAACCCTTGCCCCATTGAAGATAGACTTTTTAAAATTAACGTATAATACAATCATCACATGACACCTACCTTTGATGACCGCTGCCATATTGCAGCTTAGATAACAGATAAAACGTAGTCCAATGAGGTTAAAGGGCGGGAAATGTATCATTTGTAATTCGCTGTTGCTTAACACCTTGTCGCTTTGTATTGGTTACTGCGGTTCAAGCTATATCGATCCATGATGCACAGCGTTCTTCCGTCGCTACTTAGTTTTACGCAGGACGGTGCAATGTATGCCGAATAGGTATTGCCATCTGTGGTGAAGTGGAGAACTTTGTCGGAAGTGGGAATTGTGGGTAATTATGAGTCCCCCAAAACAGCGAAACATCAGTGTTCGTAGAGTATCGAAAGTGAAAGGTGGTTTTAATCGCAAATGTAGTAGTGGGAACAGTTTATTGTCGTTTTGGGCTGAAAATACTTTCAGGCCAAATCGTCAAAATGCCGGGTTTGATTCGTGTGAGTGAATTTGTTGAAGAAACTCGCGAGGATTATAATTCACCGACAACATCAACGTTTGTGTCACGGATGCCACAATGTAGACAGACAATTGCATCTTTGGAAGAGGTAAATGAAGTTCATCAATGGACTTTTTTTTGTAGGCGGGACTGTCATTGTTTTGTATTGATGTAGGCTGAAATATTGTTGCATTCATGTATGTTGTTTTTTTTTAATTCAGATTGTTTCTTTTGAGCGACCTTTAATATTGTTTACATTTTTCCAGCCCAGACAAGATAAAGCTTCGTTATTATTATTGCCAAGGGCATTATTACTTCCATTTCTTTAAATTTCTTTTTAAGTGTGTCGTGTAATGTTAGGAAGGACTGTTAGGTCAGTTTACCGGGAGCATGAGTAAAGTGCGAAAAATGCCCTGACAGGCTGTGGTATGTATTAGGAGCATTTAAGTTTTCGTTTTTAGAGCAATTAATTTCACAAGGAAGTCTTTGTGTTTATCGTAGTTTTAGAGAACTCTTGAAATATGAATATTTGCACAAGAGTTGTTTGTGAATGTACATTCGAGAATAAACAATAGCATATGTTTCCCCATTCGCTAGCAGGGGAATAAGCGTTATCAGTGTTGCATTTTGATAATGTGGTTGCCACATAAGTGCGTTCAAAGTGTCTGCTACATGTGACTTATCACATTGGAAATGAACCCCAAGGTAACATTTAGCTGTTGCGCCTCTGCGGGGATGATTTTTGACCGTATTTCACCCGGCATCACTTCTGTGCAGAAAGGCATTGTAACCCCGCACTTGATTTATCTGCATTTTATCAAAACGTTAAGATGTGGTGTGACAGTAAATTAATTTATTACGTAAAACATTTATTGTATCGTTCTATGGCAACACGTTTCCATTGCTGAAAGTTATGACAAAGCGGTAACATGTGTATGTTTTCTACTCTCGGCCCGGGTTCATATTAATCAGCGCACGAAGCATGACAGCGTGGATCACCGTGCGTAGTTCTTTTCGCTTTTTCTTTCGAGTACTCCTTCAACTGGAGTATTTTGTTAAGCTGTACATAAACCTGCTGCTTGATCTTTCCAAATTATGGAAGTTATATTGTACATACTTGTACTGATTACAAAGTAAACACGATAACCACAAACTTCCTGAAACATTGTGGGCTGTTTGTGGAATGCAGTGCTTTGATTTTAAGCGGTGAAACCGTTGTCAGAGCCGGATTAAGACTTCGCGAAGCCAGGATAATTTAAGAAAATGTTACGAGTATGTAGAAAGAAATACCGTAGTTTAATAAAACGAATTGTAATAGAATTACTAAGAAATGTTCAATTACATGTTTGAGTAAGAATGGAGAATCTGTGTGTTTATATGAACTGCACTGATACATAAGAAGCCGTCATTTGCTTAGCAGTAATCACATATCTGCAATCAGAACTGATACAAGGAGCAATGCTGCCTGTGAATTTGTTTTCGATTAACACAGGTGATGTTTTCATCATTCCAGCCTGGCTAGTTACGGTCAGCTGTTTGTTATTTCCGAGTTTGTTTCATGTCTCCTCCCCGCATGTTTGGAGTCCTCACATGCTTCCCAGAATTGAACTATGAATTCTGTGTTACTTGTTTCTGTGATTTAAGATCTGAAATCATTCTTATTATTTGGTCACGAATTTTATCTTATAGTCCTTCTTCTGTGCTCATAAATTTGTAAACATAATCCTTTATCTTGTGGCGTATGGTATGCATGGAAATGGTGGTACGTAGAGAATTTTAGTTGGTAAACCGTGACGGAAAGACACGAAATCGTTTGGAGATCCAGTCATAGAAGGGAGGATAGTAAAGTATTAAAATATATCTTAAAGGAATTGGGTGTGAATATCGGAACTGCTTTATGCGCCTCAGAATGGGGTCTAGTGATTGACTTTAATGAACACTTAACACTTCCAGTTCCAAAGAAGTCTGGAGATTTCTTGTTGCGTGACTAGTATATAATTTAACTGTTAAAGGATTGCTTCGTATAGTAGCGAGAATGTAATTGATATTAAAGCTAAATGTATCTTTATTTGTGTTGTTTATATTGCATACACAGACGATAATAATAATATAGTATATAATAATATAATAATAATATATAATATATATATAATATATATATATAATATATAATAATATATAATATTATATAATTTAACTGTTAAAGGATTGCTTCGTATAGTAGCGAGAATGTAATTGATATTAAAGCTAAATGTATCTTTATTTGTGTTGTTTATATTGCATACACAGACGATAATAACAACAAAAAAGAAAAGTTGGTACAAAATAATTTTGTTACCAGCATTAAACAGGCGATGGTTTATCTGCAAGCAGTAAAAAGTTAAGATAAAGTTGTCCATATGCTTAACTAAATAAACGCTACAGCATAAAACGTATTGGGGAGTGGATATATAGGTACATGTATTCTCAACCTCGGCACTGGTTGCACGTGAGTGGTGAACGTCACTCCCTGGAAGGTTTACCGCCAGGGAAAGAGCTCTCAGTAGCCATTGGATAGTAGGCTGGGTGAGTCCCAGAACCGACCTGCACGACGAGGACAAAAATCTTTCCCCCAACCGGGACTCGAACTTCGATCCTTCGTTCGTCGAGCCCGTAGCAGGTCGCTATACCGACCGCGCTATCCCGTCTGCAAGCAGTGCAAGTGTAAACGGAAGTTACGAACTTTTCGCTGCAATGGCATCCACTGGAAATGAAGGTCATGGTTACAGATTCTTTGTCTAGGACATCGAGAAGAAACAAAAAGCGGCAATCAGGAGACTCATATCTCATACAAGAGAATGAGTGTCAGCTGGAACCTTAAGGAAGAAAACCAAAGGCATAGTCTACAGCAGGAGTCTCCAAACTTTTCGAACCGCGGGCCACATTAGGTAGTTCAGCACTTTCAACGGGCCGGATAAAATGAGAAATTAATAACTCTAGGTATATGAGTTTTATTGAAAGCACAGAATTTCATAAACTAAATACAAAGTACGTGAGAATAAATTATCGTATATTAATGACAACAGACAGTAGCAGCAAATGCTGATATTTTCATCACAAATTATAATAAAACAATTAATGTGAATGATGGATCTCTTTTTGCATTCTTAAAATCTGATTAAATTGAGGTTCAAATTTTGGAAACACTAATCACAAGTAGCAACTTTAAATGTTCGTTGGATAAATTTGCCCTGTATTTCGACTTGATGTACTTCATCTGGGAAAAAGTTCGTTCACACAGATATGTCGTCCCAAAAATGGAGATAAATTTACAAGCAAATT